AGGAGCAGGAATAGCCCATCTGCCCCCCCCAGCCCACTCTGCTATTCCATAAGATCATGTCTGATCTATTCATGGACTCAGCTCCACTTACCCACCCACTCACTATAACCCCTATTTCCTTTAGTGCTCAAAAATCTATCTGTCTTTGCCTTAAAAGCATTCAAGGAGGAAGCCTCAACTGCTTCAGTGGGCAGGGAATTCCACAGATTCACAACCCTTTGGATGAAGACGTTCCTCCTGACCTCAGTCCTAAATCTGCTCCCCTTTATTTTGAGGCTATTGGCTTCTGCCGCTCTCCAACCATCTGGGATCCTTCAATCTAGAACTCATTACACCTGGTCCTGGATGACTGATTGACCTGGCTTGGTGTTAGTTTGAACCATGCCAAAGAGATTGGAGATACAGAGAGAAAGAGAGAGAGAGGAGATTGAGAGAGAGACAGAGAGAGAGAGAGAAGGGGCTGAGTTACACTGAGGCTTACCCAAAGCCATTAGGATCTAGGGTGTGTGATTTACAGATGCTGTCAGTACCGAACAAGTTCGGAACCAGCGAGGGGGTAGAGGGAGGCAGGAATGTCCAACCCCACCTCCCCACACATTGACACTGCGGAGGGGGCAAGAGTCAATTCTCTGATCACAGACCCATCCAGCGACCACTGAATCCATTTGTACGTGCCACATTTAACATGCCACACTCCATCATATTACCATGTCCGGCTTTCCTTGTTCCACTCACCGTACTCCACAATCCGGAATCCTCGATTTGAACCCCTCCACCACAAGCATTGCCCTCCCTTCACCTGGAGCATCTGGGCAGAGTACCAGCATCCCTCACCCTCACCTCGGCCCTCACCAATCAGACCCACAGCTGGCCTTGCATTGCCTTGGGAGAAGGGGATAGTATTGTTGCAGAGTGGCCTTAGTTACAGTGCGTCGGTTTGGAACAGACTTCCATCTGGCTGTGGGGAAAGGGCAGCAGACTGCACCACTATGCACTTTAAAACACAGACCACAACCGCATTCACACCCAGTCCTAGAACAAAGAACAAAGAAAATTACAGCACAGGAACAGGCCCTTCGGCCCTCCAAGCCTGCGCCGAACCAGATCCTCTATCTAAACCTGTCGCCTACTTTCCAAGTCCTGTTCACACCCAATCCCACTCACAGCCAGTCCCACTCACACCCAGTCCCACTTACACCCAGTCCCGTTCACACCCAGTCCCACTTACACCCAGTCCCGTTCACACCCAGTCCCACTCACACCCAGTCCCACTCACACCCAGTCCCACTCACACCCAGTCCCGTTCACACCCAGTCCTACTCACACACAGTCCCACTCACACCCGGTCCCCATTCACACCCAATCCCATTCACACCCAGTCCCACTTACACCCAGTCCCACTCACACCCAGTCCCACTCACACCCAGTCCCACT